TATAGTTGACATACATTATTATATTACAACCCAGTGATCAAAGATTATACAAGTTACCAAGTGATCATCCCAATAAATCCCACACCAATCTGACACCATATATAGTTATTTCAATATTATGGGCTATATTGTCTATGCTGTACTTTACATCCTGGTAACTGTTCTGTAACTACCAATTTGTACTTCTTTATCTCTTCACTTTTTTCATCCATAACATCACTTAATAATTTAGAGATGATATCTACATATGATACCATTTTCTTACCACCATTTCTCTCTGAAATCACAGCTAGGGAGAAGATGAAACTGAATTACATATAATTCTTTCCATAGATATTTAAATAAAAAATACTGTGTATGAGCCATCATTCAAGGATAGCTCCCCCTCATCATCAAGTATTCTCCTGAAATGTATTATCCTAGGAAACCAGATGTCAAATCTTTTAATTAACTACCGGCATGTATTTCCTGCTTGTTTTATTATGAACTTGGGCTAATAAAGTTTAATTATTTTTAGAAAAATAATATATGCTCAGGAAGAAAATTTCAAAAAACACAAAAATTAGGAAGAAACTAAAAATATGAGTCCCTATCCCTTTACAGAGAAGCACTATTAACATTTTGGTGAATGTCCTTCCAAATATTTACTTATATATACAAAATAGACTAAAAAAATTTTTTAATAAGTGAGATCATGCTCCATTTGCTGTTCTGTAAATGTGTCTTTAAATTCAACAATGTGAGAATGACGTCTTTTCATGGCAGGAAGTAAAACTATATATTATTTTTTTAAATCCTCTCACAAGGATATGTTTTTATTAATTTTATCTATCTATCCATCAATTTCTTTATTTATGGTTAATCCTCACCTGAGGATATTTTTCCATTGATTTTTAATTTTTAGAGAGTGGAAGGAAGGGGGAGAGACATCAATGGGTTGCCTCTCGGGTTGAGCCTGCAACCAAGGTGTGTGCCTTTGACCGTAATTGAACCCAAAACCCTTCAGTCTGCAAGCTGATGCTCTATCAACTGAGCTAAATGGTCTAGGGCTTTTACTAATTTTAGAGAGAGGGAGAGAGGGGAACATCGATATGAGAGAGAAATATTGACTGGTTGCCTCCCATACACTCCCCAACTGGGGATGGAACCCACAACCCTTTGGTGCATGGGATGATGCTCCAACAGAAACACTCGACCAGGGCTGTATATTATTTATTTATTTTTGTATGTTACTTTTAATGGCAATAGTACTCCTCTGTATATTTGTATGTACATACACACATGAATTGCTTTCAGTTTTCAATATTATGAACAATGCTGCATAAAAATTGTTTATGTATATTTAGCTTTATACTTAAGAAAATTAGATTATACATGCAATTAAAATATGTAAACAATACGGTGATCAAGTTTTCAAAAATAGAGTTTCTAAAGACCCCAGAGATAAAGTAGCTAACTATCACACTTTGCTCTATAACAAACTTCAAGAATTGGCTGGTTAATTATTCTGTATTGACAGTACACCAGGCAATTAGGTAATAAGAAAATCAAACAGTACCCTAAAAGATATACCTGAATACTCATTAGGATGGCTATTATCAAAACCACAGAAAACAACAAGTATTGGTGAGGATATGAAGAAACTGGAATCCTTGTGCAATACTGCAAAATGGTAGAGCTACTATGGAAAAGAGTATGGCAATTTCTCAAAAAATTATACATGGAATTACCATATGATACAACAATCCCACTTCTGGATATTTACACAAAAATATCAGGACTCAAATTGATTTTTAAAAAATATATT